AATGTAGGCTCATAGATCTATTTCCCCATCCTCATATAATATATTTGTATATGTACATGTCTTTATCTAGAGCTCTATAAATACCCTTTGCCTCCCAGGAATCTTGCTCTTTCTAAGCTTTCTTAACAAGGTGTTTTTATTCAGTGGGGGAAAAATGTTCTAAGGAACCTACTAAAGAGCTAATAGTCCATCAGATGTGTACTCCATTCAGAGTAATGGGGGTAACAACTTTCTTGCTCTTCGTTATCTCGATACACTCTAGGTGTTTCTACGTGCTTGGGGAGTGAATACCTACTTCAGAGTGTCCTCTCCCTGAAATTAAGTGATAAAATGTTGCAACAACAGCAAAAAGCTGTTTTGCAATACACATTTATCTTCTGGACCTATTAATCTAAATAGCTCTTCAAATTTGGAAAATGTCAGCATGAGGATTACTTGACATTGTATAATAGAACTTGCGCCTCTTGTAGGCTGCTTTTAAGGAGATCTGTTATTGGTACTATGCATAATCCAGGAGATTGAGTTCTAATAGAAACCTGATTCAATTGAGGTGTTTAATATCCAAGTTATAAAGGAGCCTTGGTGACACTGAAGGATAAGGATCGGCTGCCAACCAGCTGCCCTGCAGTAGAAAGGGGACGCTGCCTTGTTCCCTTAATGACTGAGCCTTGGAAACCCTGGTTATGAGAATCAACTCAATGGCAGGGGTTTGGTTGGGTTATCAAACTTACTAATTTTCTAAGACTATTAGGACAAATGATAGGAAAACAACAAGAAGTTTCAAAGTGGTCAATATAAGATATATATGATTAGGTCATATATACCTTTGCAAAAGTAAAGATCCAAGTTGAATCACAGAACTTTGTTCTTTCCAAGTCTGTGCTTTTGTGAAGTTAAATGTGGGTGAAAAGAAGATCTCTCTAGGTTTCTCTGTGGAGCAAGCACCATTACTGAAAAGGCAAAACTTGAAAGCTGAAGACACTTATCACGGACACTTTTTTTTTTAAGGATGAGTTATGACCTAGAATGATTCATTCTGAAAAATGTTTGTAGAAGGAAAAAAATATGGTACAAGAGAAAAATCTGTTTGGAACTCAAATTCGAGCATGCGTGGCATGATTTGACTAAGGTTTACAGTGAGTGCGTGAAGGATGTGTGTCAAATGAGTAGTTTGGGTTGAAGAGAGCAGGTTTGCATGAAGCCCCCGAAAATGCTGCATTTTCCTTTTCAGTGTGATCGTTTTGTAGCGCCTTGGTTCCCTTTCAGAATGTAACGTGCTGTAATGAACGTGTTTTTAGGGGTGTGAGCCCCAAAGTGTGGGCCTTTGTGTCAGCCTGAGAAATGTGATTGTAGGACTCCCTAGTCTGCGTTTCCCTGGAAAGTGCCTCCACCCACTGCAATGGGCAGGGGCGCTGCCTGCTGCCTCTCTGGGAATACCTCAGAGAAGTCCCACT